GAGATCTTTAAATATGATCTCGTACATGGGAAAGGCATCCTGTGTAAACTCCAAGCAGATACGGGCATCCCTCGTCGGCCTCATAATCTTAACGTTTCTCCGAAATCCATCCTGGCTGCCGCCATACTCGATGACAATGTAAGTTTGTTTACCGGAATAGCTATAGATCGAAGCTATTCCCCGGGGTTCAGCACCAACCCAATCTAGAGTGGGGTCGTCGAAGGTGTTGACCAGATTGAAGATTTCGTTGGTAGTGCTTGTTTCCTCGACATCATTACGCCCCTAGGACTCAGGAATATCATCCATTTACCTACAAAGTACAGGAAACCGGTGAATTCGACAACAAATCCACTTTTCCTTCACAAAGACGGGGAGAAGTAAGCAACACTCAGACTGAGTCAACGACCATTCGTACGGAAAACAGGGAACACGTAGACCTTGACCAAACATCGACCTTAGCGGCAGACGCGTATCAATCATGAATGACGCGAGCATAGCGTGAATATCGCGAGAAAAGGATGAATCTCACGACCAAGTTCATAATGTTGTTGGCCAGATACAAGAATACTACGGGGAAAACTAGCCTACATACTAACGAAATGATGAATCTCCCGACCAAGTTCATAAATCTACTAGCCAAACGCACGAGTATCACGGGCACGATCGTAAATCGTATGCCTAAACCTATGAATGTCGTGGGCGTAATCATGAATCAGGCGCCTAGGGTGCTTAAATTTCTCGGGCACAATCCCCAGACATGAACTTCTACCACTAAAACGCCATCAAAATCTGCCTACAACATGAGATATCAAAGGGAAAAACACTTACTTGGGAGAAGAGTGAGGAGCGACGGTGGTGGAGATGAAAACACGGCAAACGACGTGGCGGACTCAGCGACGCTAGGGAAACGCATGGTGATTGAAAACAGAGAAAATATGAGAGCGTGAAGATGTGAAAACAAACTATGGGTCCTGAAGCCTTATTTATAGAGATGACGTGGAATATGAAACGTCGCGTCGGGGAACCACGAACTGCCTTCGTCCTCGACGCCTACTCGCATAGACAATAATGACCCTACTCCCTAGGGCGACATTATGGTTTCCAAGAGCCGCCCTAGGGAGTGCTCCTTGAACACTGCTCGATCGCTGCATGGGGCAAATCATGAACCAGGTGATGTCTCACATCCCTGATTGAAAACCTCGGTGTCGCGCAAGCGAGTCTCGCGAAGGGGCGAACTTGAATCAAGTCATAACTCCCTAACCAGGAGAAACGACTTGGGGGCTCCTGTTCTGGACTGGGCCTGCCCGTGGCCTAATCACCAGTGAGGCCCAATCCAAGCTTGTCAACATATCATGCTGAGCAGTATATCCTCCAAGCACACCCCGATCATGGGTATCTAGTCGGCTACGATTACTTCCCACTGGTGCCCGTGAGGAACGTCCCCGACGAGCGTACGCTCTACCCAAGCACCCTCCTCGTAGGGCTGACTTTCAACCTCTCCATATTTCGCGGAGTCCCCAGAGTCCCGGGAAGATCGCGTCTCTATCCTCCATGTCTTGCGGAGAGCATCATCCAAGTAGGGGGCCACGTGCAGGTCCCCACTACTCACGTAGAACCTGGTGGTCCCTTTGTTGGGCCTGTTTGATCAGCCCAATAAAGAGACCTTGGCCCAACGCTGGGGGCTATAAATACCCTCTATTTCAAGAGAGTCAGGTATTCATTCATTCACACCTACATACGTACTTGCTTGCTCATTCTGTCTCTCACTTTTCCATCAGAGTGTCTTGCAGGTACCCCCCATCTCTTTCAAATCCAGCCAAAGGCCAGCTGTGACGGTCCAACTCTGATCAGGTACGATCAGATGTGTATAATTATAAATGGCGTTTGGAAGTGGTCTCTCTCTTCATCTCAAACTTCATTGTCGGTTGCTACAGAATCAGAGAGGAATGAGCTCTACAACATCTTATCTTCGTTATCTCCCTCAGCCTCTATCAAAGACAAGTTTGCATGGTGGCGCGACCCTGCAGCTTCTCCTTAAAATCAACTTTTCTTAGTCTCCAAACTTTATATCGCAGCAACGACCCAATTTTAACTTATCTTGCGATGGTTCTCCATAGTCTATGGAAAGCTAATGTTCCCTCTAATATGGAGACACACCTAACCCCATATGTGTATGTGTTTCATAAATTCATAGATGACAATGTGATTAAGAGTGAAGAATTCATTAAGATCTAGCATATACATCATCATTAAACACGAGAATAATCTAATTTCCCCTTTACAAAACAAAAAGGTGCAAAGACATTGAAAAACATGAAATTAGGGACCATAAACATTCACCTATAACAGGCAACATGTGTCTGCATGAATCCAAGAAAGGCTTGGTCAGAATCTCCCCTTGCTCAGACTTTACATGCTGGAGTTCTTCCAGTGCAGGAGTGAAAACAGTCCCCTCCATTTTCAGACTTTAGCACAACATTAGCATAAACATCAAATCTACATATAAGCCACTACAATTCAAACAAATTTCTCATTACTAAATTACAGATTTATCATCTAAGAATGTAAAATTATTATAGAACATAAATCAAGAAATTTCACGGAAATTGCAGGATCATAATCAATATGAATAAATAGAAAAATGATATAATTTTTCTTAGAAAGAAACAAAAAAAGCATTGATCCATGAACAAGGAAGAAGAATTGGAGGAGAGGTGATGTATACGTACTGTATGGAATGGCGAGACTAGAGGGAGAGAAGTGTGATATGACGAGTTCAGAGTGGTGTTTGAGATGAGAATCAGATACCAAAATCAGATATCAAAGTTAACATTTCAAGAACCAAATTAATCATTTGAAACAAATACAATGATCAGTCAGAAACTTCAGTTGATAACAGGGATATTAAGAAAGTTCAAAACTGAATATTTGGAACATAACTGATTATATGAAACTTACTGTGAATGTATAAGGAAATCAGTAATCATTTTAAATCCAAAATAACTTTTTTCTGGCTACAATGACTGAATTTAGTTTCAGAAACAAATTGAAAACAATCATTGCTAATTGAGCCTTAATATGTACATCACCTATAACAGTAAACAAAAAAATCTAGACATCTAAGTGCTCTATAAATCCAAACACACATATGGTTATAGATTTTACCAATTTATATGCAATAAAACTAAATTAACCATGACGTACAAATTACAATCAAATAAATTACCTTTGAAGAAACATTTTCCTTTCAGAAACTCCAAGCATTACTCATGTGTTCCAATATGATTTTTGCCTTATTCTGCTTACTACCCTCTATCACTCAGGGGACCAAAACACCATAACATGAGTAAAACCAAAGAGATAAATGCAGAAGTCACTTGGAGAATGAATGAAAAAAATATGAACGTGTAGAATTTATTACATGGCATGATATCATGCATAACAGTTGCTCAGAGTTCTAAGTCAAAATGACTCTCAACATGTTGCTTAGTGATTGTCTTCGCCACTCCTTTAGACTGACGTCCCTCAAACGGTTGGGCCAGTAAATTTCCAAGCCACCGTTCAAGAAGGGACACAATATCACGACGAAAGAATAACCAAACCCTCCACATTGGTGCCCAAAACCCACAACCTAGTCTTTTCCCAATAGGACCAGTGTTAAAGCGGTAGTAAATCAAGTGCTTCAAATCGTTCCACATTCTAATCTGCCTCATAAGCCTATATTTGTATCGATACATACCATTCAATTGACCAACATGAGAGATAGTATATTGGAGGCCATCCACTAGTTGGAAAGTATCAATATTACCCAAATGGAACTGAGCATTAGCACTAACCACAAGTTTCGTCAAACGAAGGATATCACGACAAAGATGAAAAGATTACCAAGAAAATTAGTCTTTCTTATTCAACACTGAGAAAATGTATAGATCTATAATCTATTTTTCGAACATTAGTCTTTCTTATTCAACACTGAGAAAATGTATAGAAGTATAATCTATTTTTCGACTATGAAACTTAATTTGCCACAGAAGATTATAAATATCTTAAAACTATAAAAACTAATAAGGACATAACAGATTTATACAACAAATTAGAAGATTTATAATCTCATGCTATTCACAAGCATGTGATAGTTTCAGTGTGGTTGCAAACATAAATGTTGGACATCATTCTGTATGACATACTGAGGTATAACAAGTTTTAAAAATATATGAAATTAATTATTTACATAGTGGACATCGAAAATAGTTCTAAACCATCACAATCAGTGCTATATGAACTCGACAAATCATATATGAACTTACTATGAATGTATAAGGAATGATGTTGTTAGGCTATTCAGAGTATCTCTTAACAATATGGCACCAGATGATGTTAACTTCTACTCATGTGAGAGTCACCGACAAATACGACCATTTAACGTCATCTATTTATACTCTAGATGACTGGCATGTGAGTTATCTCTTATGTATCCTTATCTATCAAAGCAAGTGAGAATTACATGTTTTGATTCTATAAAGTGTCACACCCCATCATGGCGCTAGATATTCCTGGAGAACCACCAAAAGGAAGTAAAGAGTGATAGGCCACTTTAGCTGTTGTTTGTCCATAAATACATAGCATTTTCAAATTTTCAATGATGACCATTTCTTTATCTTATATGTATGTTAAGATGTAATTGGATATGGGAACTAAAACTATACTCAAGGAAGAAGTAATGGAGGCATTGAGCATTCTATATAGTCTTGAACATGTCAGTGTAAAATAAAACAGAAGTTGTTTAATAACAATAAACTCAATAAGTTCTAATGTTATGATAACAGAAATTCAAATGTTTTGACATCAAAAAAATATGTAACCTAGCTCTGCTTAGGTAATTAATACATTCTACAAAAGTCAAAAATATAACATAGGCTAGACCTTGTTATCTTATTTCTAAGTTTAGTGACCGTTTAAACGATTTATTTTATCTCTTGTAAGAAAAATGTGCACAAGTAAATCACCAAGCTATTAATATTGTTTTAACGCTGCAACTCAGAACAAATATGATATTTCTTTTTAGTTTTATTTATGTTCTTGGAGCTCTTAACTATCCAAGTATGAAATCAATGTTGGCACAGTTTTACTATGGAGTTCGCTACAATTCCAATTGTTGGCACAGTTTTACTATGGAGTTCGCTACAATTCCATATGGAGTTCGCTACAATTCCAATGTTGACACAGTTTTACTATTAAGTTCGCTACAATTCCAATGTTGGCACAGTTTTACTATTAAGTTAGCTACAATTCAACAGTTTTACTATTAAGTTAGCTACAATTCAAATGTTGTCACAGTTTTACTGTGAAATTAGCTACAACTCAAATGTTGGCACAGTTTTACTGTGAAATTAGCTACAACTCAAAATAGAAATCATTGGATTTTTTGTTTGTCTTCGAGACTACCGTTGTCGATCAAAAGTTGTCAGTTGAATGCTTCTTATGTCCAGAAGATTTTAAATTCAATTCTAACTATTTCAAAGCAACTCAAAAGAAGCCACAATAATGCTTCTGAAACGTTGAAATTGAATCAAAATCAAATTGCCACAAACAAACCAAAAAATCTAGGATCTGCAACTTTACATCAACTAAGCGTGATAAACCTTGAAAAACTAAATCCCTGAAAACCCAAACAGATACATAAATAGTAAATATTGGATCAATACATCAAAACTAATCTTAAACCATCAGAAATAATATGTTTAAATTCAATTCTAACTATTTCAACGCAACCTCAAGAGAAACCACGATGTCTGAATAGTCGAAACTGAATCAAAATCAAATTGACACAAACAAAACCAAAACACACTTCTCAGCAGCATGTAAATTTCCAAGAACAATCCGCACAACACCCTTTCATTTTCATTCCAGGGCGATTTTTGGAAACTTTTAAAAACAAAATCCATAAAAACACAAACACAGGCGTACTAAACCATCAGAAATAATGGATCAATACATCAAGTTTAAGTCAGACGACCGTCGTGAGATTGGAAATCCAAATTCATCATATGGTTTAGGTTTTTCATAAAATTAAGAGAACTAAAAAAATAAGCAAGAAGAAAACGAAGAAGAAAATAAGAATAGCAGATTTTCTGAAGGTGGGGAATGAAGAAGCTCGAGGGAGATAATGAAACTATTTAAAGGAAAGGATTTAGGGTTTGGAATTATGTATCTTTGTTTTGAATAAGGCCGGCCCATGATGTAAATATACCAACCGGATATTGGGCCAATTTTTTGGGATTGCTAGAGGCACTTTATGAATTGCTACAATATCCTAGTGAAAAATTTAAAATATCTCTAGACTCTAGAGATGTATTTCCTAATGCACTAAAAAATATAAATTACATTTTTTTTTACAACACTTCAAATGATAGGTTGTCTTTATTTCAGAGATGCATCTTTGGAATGTATGAAACATATATTCAAGTACACAAATGCAAATTAATGCATATTGAAGTTAAAATTAAAATTGATAACTTAATAGATGAAACACTACATAAATAATCTGATATTACATAGATGAAACATATCAACGTCGAGGTAAATATTCTAACATCCTAATAATATTTTCGGAAAATTTCTTTATTTTCGCATCCAGCTCGTTTGGAAAATTGTATTTGTAACGGAAAAATGTATCCACATAACCCTTACATATGGAGCAGTCATGAGCTTGAAGTTGTTGAAATCGGTGTTTCCTTCATTGTCAGCTAAGGGTGAACAGTAGTCGAGCTTGACAATTTTATCTATTGTCGTTGTATGATTGAAATTCTTCCAATATGAATTTCAGATAATCAAGAAGCATATACTCATTGAACTTGTATGCAATCGATGGCTCTGTCGTGTTAAAGTAGACATATCCAATATTCTAATTGATGTTCATTCTGATTTAATATAATGAAAGTTCATATTTATACAAGTTCTACTCCCAATATGAACCTCAAAATTTCTATCATGTACAAGAGAACGTTCTAGAGATGCATCTTCAAAACTACTATATTTGTATTTTTTTTAAACACTTTGGGTGCGTCGTGAGATGCATCTTCGAAAACATCCAACATTGTAAGAACATAGACTAGTGAGAAGCATAACATGTTTTGGAAAGAAAAATATTGCAATTTTTGGGAAACTAAAACATGTGCTAATTTCTTTGAAAATGTATATATTTGATGTCATCAATATTAATACAATATTACATCAACTATCAACCTATTACAATTGAATTGATACACTTTCCCGTTAAATGCCCTTTATCTTTCAAAATTTTACACACATAAAAGGTCAATAAAGTAATCTAATAATGTCAATATTAATTATTTCCCATTGCATGTGGAATCCTTCCACGTCGTCATTTTTTATTCAGACACCCTTTCCCAAGTTAACACATGTCTTGGTTATAATTTACTGACTTTACTCAATCCTTTTCCCTCTTTTGATATTTATGTTAGATGATAGACTATGATCTAGAGGGGGTGAATAAATCACAAATGAAATTTTCTTATTTAAAAATTGTTTTATTTATTTTTACTATGTCGTGTAGAAACAATCCCGAATCGACAATCGTCTATCCCAAACCGTTATCGAAAAGATCGAATAAGTGTTGGAAAATTCATATTTTTTCATAACTTTGAGCAAAATTTTCACCATGATGCATGATGAGTCAAAGGAAACTTCCAACATGAAAGTTGTAGATATCAATGAGATCTAAAACATTGTAGAATACAACTTCTTCTAGAAATGCATGGATTACAAGTTATGATTTTGTGAATACATGTTCATGAAACTTGGAAACTTAGTGAAATTTTGTCCTAGTTTAGGCAGGATTTTGACCTAACTTTTTGGCAAATTTTCACATAGTTCCAAGATGAATTCCCAAAAATGTCCAAAATAGAGGTTGTAGAGGATGTTACAAGCTTTCCAAAATGTCGAAGAACTCATTGAGATCATGTTTGATCAAGGAGAATCGAAGATAAGAAGTTAGGGTTTTCAAACTTGAATTACAAGCCATTTTGTGAAGAACACATGAACCAAATCCATGCTAGGCTGCATAATCTTTGCTTTGCAGGCCTCAAACTTGTTTGCCACTCCATAATGAATGTTTTTCATGGCTTCTAGAAGCTTTAATATAATCATTCAATGCATTGCCCATGCTTAATACCATTTTAGGAAGAAAGGCAACATTGCCATTTTAGAAAAGTGGCTTTATGCACAAAGTCCACTCTTCTTAAGCCTCTAACTTGTTTGTTCAGCACACACTCAACATACAAAGTCAGATAAACATGTTTAAATTTTGTAACCACTCTAGACAACCTTGTAATATTCATTGGGATAATGTGTATCAAGCTTGCTTCAAAAACAAGAAAATATCCATAACACGTGATTTTGAATTCTGATCAAGGACAAGTCTCCAAACTTGTTGCGTATAAATAGGGTCAATATTTGTGAGCTAAGACACGAGTTTGAACACCCTTAAGCACTCACAAATTCCCTCAAGCCAGAAATTGCATAAAACCTTCATTTTTGTGTCATTTCTGACTTTAAACTTCAATCTTCAAAACCACTCGTGTGTTTCTTCGCTTAATACTTCCAAAAGCTTCTTAGCATCATACACAAACCATACTAATACCTGTTTGCAAACTGTAACACCATTTTTACCATCCTCCATAACCAAAAATAGAGGTTTGCATCTTGACTTCTCCATGCCATTTCAGCTACTCTCAGTTCAAGCCAGCTATTGCATTAGCTTCCTAGAGGTTCAAGGAAGCTAACTTGATAATCACTATCACTTGAAACAAGCTCAAACTCATTTCACGATTTCCAGTTTTTGAGGTATTTTTCTGAATTTTCATCTTTTCATTTAGGCATTGTTATGCTTCCATTTTCAAAGATAAAATGTAGATATCATTGCCCTGAAACTGTACATATCCATAGTTTTCAATTATATTGATTGAGTAGGGAGAATTTTGAGTTTAAAGTTTCTAAAAAAATTAGGTTTCAATTTAGGGCCAACAAAATTCTCATTCATCTATTATTTATAGCTTTAGTTATTTACATGGTTGAATTCGTATTGAAATTTCAAGCAATTTTGTGTTTGTATTTTTCAATTTGGTTGAGAAATGAAGAAGTTAGAAAATTCAAAAGTATGACAATGGCTTCTGGCACGAGGAAGAAGATGATAACAGCCATAAAGTTGTTTTCCAATGTATATTTATGGTTTTGTATTAATAAACAGATGTATAGCCACCCCAATTTTAAAGCGCGCGCTTGTTAACCTATGGGACCTGGGTTCGAGCCCCAGTGGTACCCTTTTGCTTTTTCATATTTTCTCATTTCAGATTCAGTGCAAGCAACCCCCTAGCGCGCATGATGCATCCTTCATCCTCCATCATCAGATCTCAATCAAGCCCGGATCTAACACATCCAGCGCCTCTCCATGATGCTCCCTCACCAGCCTCCTCCACTGGATCACAATACAGGCGTTGGGCTCCCTGTTGTTGGGCCTAGCATTTTGCTTGTTTCATACTCCCTATTTCATTTTCATACATCCTAGCCCATTTCATTTTTCTTTTACTATTTTTTATATATTTGTTTTTGTTTTAACATTTTTATTTTATCAAAATAAAATCATAATATCACAAAAATGTTAGATCTAGGTTTTTACTTAATTAAACTAATTTTTGACATTAAAAATTAATTTATTTTAATTACCCTTTTGTTTTATTTTTATTAATTAACTTGTAAACTAGGGATTTCATTATTCCTTTTTTTACACTCATTAAAAATATTTCCCTAAATCAAAAATCCAAAAACAATAATACTTTTTCTAAAATACTTAAATCATCTTAGTTTTTATTAATTAAATTATTTTTATGATAAATTAATTAATTTTCTTCACACCTTTCTTTTACTTTGTAAATAAATTAGAATTAGGGTTAACTTCTAATTTCTTTTCTTTTCAAATTTCAAACATTTTTCTCAAATTAAAAAAAAAAAAGACCAAAGAAAAACATTTCTTAACAAATTTCTTTTCTTAATTAATTTAATCTAAACTTAGCTTTATGTTAATTTTCTTTGCTAATTTAATTAATTTAGAGCTTAGGTTTATTTTAATTGATTAACTTTTATTTTATTTTTATTAATTAAAAACCTTTTCATAAAAAAAGCTAAAAAAAATCCTTTTTAAGTTTATTTCTTTTCTTAATTAGTTTAAGTTAATTTTATTTAATTTTTATTAATCATTTTCTTAATTAGGTTAAAACTCTTTCGTGAAAACCAAACAAAAATCATTTCTTTTTCCATTTTGCATTTGTACATTATTTTTCAATTCTTGTACATTTATTCAATATGGTTGTAATAGATAATTAAGTTTAATTTTCTTGCAAAATCCCCATTTGTAAATTTGTACACCCCCTCTCCTCATGATGTAATAGCTCAGTATTTTTACTTTCTGCAATTTATCGTTTTATATAAATGCTAGCAAATTAGGGTTTGTGTGGAAAGATTAAAATCAACAAGTAGTAAACCCTAATTCAAGATAAACAAGCATGTAAATCAAACACATTTTCACACTTGCACCCTTAGGGTAATTCCACTTTGTTGCCTTATAAAAATGGCAATGTTATGCATGTGGGGTATCTTAGCAAGAAGCAATAAAAAATACAAGATCATAGTCCCTCGATGACGCTATCAATGTTGCCTTTCAAAAATGATCTTAGTCCCTCAAAGAGAATTGCTAAGATATTTCACAATATTGCTATCATTGGTATACGATGACCCACACCCGTCCCTCTACATCCAAAGATAAGGCTTCTTACAAAATCAATGGTAAGATAGCAATATCAAAGGAAGGAAGAAATGAACAAAGACTTTTTAGTAGGTAGATTGTTCCTAGTTTCTTGCTTATTTTCAA